TTATCAAGGACAACAAAAAGGCGATTAATTATTCTGATATGTTATTAATTTTGCAATAAGACGTACAGAATGAAAAAATAAAATAAAAATGATTTTAATAATCAGAGAACAAACAAGTCTTTTTGAATGAAATTTTGCGATTCCTTTATAAAAGAGAGACGCGCCTACAGAAACTTTACAGCTACAATTGTAAAAGCCCGTTTCTCATTATTGAGTTTCGTATTCAATTTTCTTTAATTTTTTTAAGTCTTTTATGTACGATTTTCTTTCATTATTGCGTTTCTTTTTTAAATTTATCAGTTTTTAGAGTCAAAATAAATAGTAATTTTTATGTATCATTTATCTCTTAACTTATCGAAACATGTTCTAATCATATTAAATAAAGTTTAATCATACTATCATAAGAAATAATAATTTTCAATTAATAGAACGAGAACAATAAAAAATTTAGAATAAATTAATAAAAAAATAATTAGAATAAAAAAAAATTATTATTTTTTCCTTAGTTTTGTTCCATACGGAGCTGAAACGGTTCCATGTATTTGACTGGTTGCCTCCAATGGAGAAGATATATATGCAGAAATAATGGACCGCCCTTATAAAAAATTCAACCATTTTTCATAAATTTTCTAGTAGATTTCAAAAATTATAATAAATAATAGTAAATATATCTTCATTAAAAAAATGAATAAACAAATTTTTCTAATTTTGCATTTTCTTTTGTAACTTATTTTAGGGTCAAAATAATTTTATTTTTCTATATAATTAATGAATGTTATTCCTGTCAGGAAAATAAATTGATATTATCATTTTTAAAATTAATTATTGATTGATATCTCCATTACAATTTTATTTAAATAAAAAATATTAATTTCCCATCTATCCAAAAATTGGGTGCACACCAAGAGTTCCTATTTCACCAAACATCTGCAATGTCTTTGACCACGTAGCAGCCATGGTATTATGAATCAGCATTTGAATTTGATTGAATTCTAAATTCCAAAACCCGAAAATTTAGTTCAATATATTTTTAAAAACAAGTTTCAATTTTTAAAAACATATTTATTTATTTAGTAAATGATTAATATTTATTCTTACATGAATGATGTTATTAGGGTTGAAAAAAGCAATGGAAGGAGTGTAAGATAATATAGAGAGAGAAGAGGAAACATGTGATGAAGAATGGGTGGGACACAGAGTAGCTTTCACAAACAAACCCACCAACATTTTTCACGCTCACATTGTCATATTGGGCCTACAAAACCGAGGTTCTTGCTTCGATGACGACTCCATATTCATAAACTTATTTTTAAATAATTTTATGTTGTGTTAAGATATGTTATTTGAATAACAAATTAAAAGTGTTAAATTTTTTTAAAGTGTAAAAATTTTAAGGTTACATAAATTCAATTTTTATTTCTTTTACTGTTTCTATTTTAAAATAAGGTATCAATTTACTAAAAAAAATAAAAGGTTATTTTTTACTCTTATTATTTATTTTATTATAATGTAAAATAAATTATTAAATTTATATAATAATATTAAAAATTAAAAATAAAATTTTTAATTTTTTAAATAAATGGATCCTTCTTATATAATTTTTACTTATTTTCTTTTTTTTTCCTTCATTTACTCTTTTTTCACACTTTTCTCTCAATATTTGTGTAAAAAATTGATATTTATATTTTAATTATTAAATTTAAAATGTTAGATAACATTTATTTTAAAAAAATTAATATTTTAAACAAGTTTAACATATAATAGAAATTAAATTATTTTTTCTAAATTAAAAATAAATAATTTTTTTAATATCTAAACATTGCACTCATAGAAATCGAAGGAAAGTTTAATCAACGTAATTTAAAAAAAAAAGTATTTTAAATATTTTCTGAATTTTCTAAATTTTTTAATATTTCTTCCGCGGAACGCAATTAAAGTATTTTTCATATTTACCATTAAAAAAAGTATATATTTATCTATTTTAATCATAGAACTATATATAAAAGTCTTACATCAAATTCAAACCGCCAACTAGAATAGTTTTTTTTTTTTTTCATACTTAGTGAGTACCAGTTATTTCCCATATTACAAATACCAATAAGTAAAATACGAATTAAATAAACATAACTTTGCCTTTGAAATAATAGTACATACATCTTCAATTATTTCTCATAATAATAATAATAATTATTATTATTATCTTCAAAATAAAAAATAAAAAGTGTGATTTTCAAAATTATGACGGTAAATAAAATAGAGATTTATGAATGAAATTATATATATAATAGGGATTGCTTTGTGATTTATATATTTTAATAATTATAAAAAATAATTAATATGGTTTATAATTTAAAAATAATAAAATATATGAGAAAGAAAAATAAATAATACATAATTAACGAATATATTTAAAAAGAGAAGTGATAAAAAAAAAAAAAAGAATTAAAAGATCGACACTCAAACATTTCAACGTTTGAGTTTTCACCGATGTATATAGATATGTATGATTTCATATATTCTTTTGATGAGGAAAACTTTTTGCAAGACCATGACTTTTGAATTTGAATCAGATTCTGGTGAATGTTGTTGGTCTTTATATGAAATTGTATGAAGTTGCTATCGATGAAGATGCTACCTAAACAAAGAATGATATTGTGTTTTTCACTCTCCCTACCCCACACAAATATTTTAGGATCATTCCAAAGTAATAAACAGAACAAACACAACATTTATATCATGTCTCAGACTGTCATGTTAGGTTAATTCAGACAAAATAAACTGATTTATGTTTTTAATTTATATTGATACAAAATTTTAAATAAATAAATTAATAATAATATCAAATCAAATTAGATAAGATCATAATAGCTGATAAATTTTATTCTCAAAATTCAAATTATTAAGAGTTAATTTTAAATGTTTCATATTTATAAATTTAAGTTAAAAGTAATTTACTATTATATTTAATAGAAAAAATAATTCATTAGAGCCAGTGGAGGCCCAATAAGTGCTGGCAGTGCACGAAGCTTATTACCATTTGGACCAAGGAAATTGCTATTTGCATTCCCTCATTACTTCTACACTCCTCTTTTATTTATTTATTTTATTTTCAAAAAACACCTTATTATTACACTTATTTCTTCACTTTACGCCGTAGCTAGGGTTTTCACCAGTGAAATTGGCTACACTTTTTTTTTTTTCATTCATCTAGAAATTATTCTGATTTTCTTGATGACAGGTTGTTTTGTTCTCTTCATTGCCATTGCACATCATCCTCCTCGATTCTGTGAAGAAACTGTTGTCAATTTTTGCAACTGCAGAGTGCACTACCATGATTGAAAAGGTTCCTGGGGAGTGAAAAGTGTTATTGCACAACCCTTCTCTTGATTCGAGTATCAAATGAAATTAGTGGCTGAGATGAGCACAAGATCATTCTTGTCGCTAAAAGTATACAAATATTACACTAGCAATTTTCTCAACGAACAAATATTATGCATTGTATTTTAAGGAGAAAAAACAGAAAAAAAAAAACAAAAACAAAAACCTTACCTAATTCTCTCTTCATATTTTTTTTATTAAAATAACAAACCATTTAATAGACCATTAAATTAAAGTATTGGACAAAATATTGAAATAAGATTGTTGACTCATGTCATTCAATTGGAAGTTAAACACTAGTTTACAGCAGTGAAAGTTAATTTGAATTTGAATTATGTTAAAATAAAGAGTTGGAGAACCTCATGCCAAAAACTGCTTATTACGCCAATGCAAAACAAGTAGAGGTCCTTTTCTACAAAAGTTTATAAATCATAACCAACAACAAAACAATGGATCCCCTCAGCTATGGAATGGAGCTTCGTTTTTACAACGCATATAACATGAAATTATAATACCTTCTATAAAGATATAAAACTAAAATTAAATATAAATTTATTCCTTATATATTTTTAGATGATTTTGGGCTGTATATTTAAACATGATTAATTAATCCTTCAACTTATAGAAATATTTAATTTTATTTTTTACTTAATTTCAATATTTAATAATAATTTTGATCTTAACAGATAATTAAATATAATTTTCACTTTTCTATATATTTAAATTTAAATTTAATATTTAATGATGTTTTATTATTTTATTATATTATTATTATTATTATTATTATAAAATCAATTAAATATATTTTTTTAATTTAAAAATTAATTTTCCCATTTTTAAATACAAACTAAAATCAAATTTATAAAGAAAATACATGAATAAAAAGCATTTAATCCTAAAATTAACTAAAAACAATTTTGATATATTAATATTTCCCAAGGTTCAGTCCGATAAGTCTCCAATAGAAGTATCAAGTTTTTGAAAAAAAAATATTAATATAAAATCTTACAATCATGAATTTCTTAAAATTAAAAACTCCCATTGGAAATATTTGATGCAATAAATAAACGTCCAGATCTTTAGATTCTGTTTACATGGATAGAGATTTATGATTACTAAATCCTACAAATTATTTAAAACTTAGTTAGAATTAATTTATTCAAATATATATTTTTAATTTCAAATAACTTCTTTTTATTTTTAAATAACTCAAATATAAAACCCATAATAAAATATTTATTTTTATTCCTGAATAATTTGAATCCTGAAGAAAACGCTCAAAAAATTTGAAATTGGAAAAATAAGATATCCACGGGAATTTGAATAGATTCAAAGGACCCTAAATTGGATGTGGGCAAATTAGGACATCTGAAAAAATGTGAATAGATATTCAAAGGACCCTACAACGATACCATTGAACCATAGTTTGAAGATGATAATTTTTTAAAGAAAGGACAAAAATTAAGAGCCCAACATTCCTATGCTCACAAAAAAACTAGACGAAAAATATCAAATCACTATCTTATTTGAATCATAAAAATACCACATATTGGAACACTTCCGCTCTTTCAATTTTCTGCACAAAACTGTTCTTTTGCCTTAGCCTAATAACCTAAAAAAAATCAAACAGTAAGGCCTTGTGGGGCAGCAACAGGTGCCTTGGGCTTAGGTTTTTCCACCACAATGGCCTGCGTGGTCAACACCATTCCAGCAACTGAAGCAGCATTCTGCAACGCACACCTTGTAACCTTGGCAGGGTCGATAACTCCAGCATCTACTAAATTCTCATACCTGTCTGTCATAGCATTGTAACCAACCTCCCATTCACCATTCTTTATCTTCTCCACCACAACTTCACCTTCTATTCCAGCATTTTGAGCAATCAATGCAGCAGGTGCTACCAGTGCCTGTATACAGAAAGACAGAAGGATCAGCATCCATAATATTTTTAGATTAATATCACATGAGATATTAAGATTATAAATATAAATATAAATAAAAAATACATTGCCCCAAATGCATATAAGCAGAAAGGACGAATTTCATCTTAATTATACCATTTTGCACTTGAGATTGAAGCATCCTGAGATGTGAAGGGATTTTAAGAAGTATCTAAGCATATATGTTTAACGTGTGGAATGGGATTGTAGCTTGCAATTAATTGCAGAACCTGTGTTGTGGAAGCAGTAATTACACCATACTCGTAAAACAATGCATATAGACCATCCTTCTCACCTTTTGCACAATGTCAGCGCCTAGCCTCTCATTTGCGTCCTCAAGCTTTTCCTTGATTGCTGGGACATGAGTGGATAGATGAACCAGTGCAGTACCTCCACCAGGTACAATACCTTCCTCAATGGCAGCAAAAGTTGCATTCTTAGCATCCTCAATTCGGAGCTTTCGGTCCTCAAGTTCAGTCTCTGTAGCAGCACCAACTTTGATGACAGCAACTCCACCAGACAATTTAGCTATCCTCTCAGCCAGTTTCTCAGAATCATATACTGAGTCCGTCTCTGCCAACTGCTTCTTTATCTGAGCAATTCTGGCTTGTAACTCATCCTTTGCTGCGGCATCAGCAATGATAGTAGTAGAATCCTTGCTGATTGTCACTTTCCGAGCCAAACCAAGCTGCTCCACTGCGGTGTTTTCAATAAGCAGTCCCAGATCACTCGCTTGGAACTCGGCACCTAGCAGTTAATCGTACAAATTAGTCAACAAATTATATCAAGAAAAAACTAAATAACATACAATAACACTACAAAGTTACACTTCCACAACAAATTTGCGTCTCCTACACATAGAAGTACTTGATCAAAGACATGGAAGACGTGCCATTTCATCATATCAAAAGGTCATGGGACAAAATTCAAGGGAAACTTGACAAATGACTACTACATGTCCGCCTGAAATAAACTAGACTAAACTTTGAACATGATTAACATAATTCTAACATGAAATAACATTACACAAATCATTCACATCAGCAACAATATAATGTTTATGCCAGGCAATACCCATCCGAAAGTTTGGAACAGATAGAAAATTCACATACCAGTCATTATAGCAATGTCTTGAAGAAGGGCCTTGCGCCGCTCACCAAAGCCAGGAGCTTTGATGGCAGCAACATTAAGAATACCACGCAGCTTATTCACAACAAGGGTGGCCAAAGCCTCACCAGTGACATCCTCAGCAATGATAAGCAAAGGAGCTCTCAATTGTGTGGTTTTCTCCAACAGTGGTATTATATCTTTTATTGATGAAATTTTCTGATCCGTAACCAACACTCTCGCATTCTCAAATTCAACAATCAACTTCTCAGGGTTTGTAACAAATTGAGGAGAAATATACCCTCTGTCAATCTACAATATTAAAGCCATACAATTAGACTCAAACAAAATATCTATTTGCCCTATTTTAAATTTTTATGTCTCAACTTTTAGAAAATATAGATAAAAAAGTTTTCTCTTATTTTAACTTATAAAAGATAAAATTCATTTTTCTTCTTATTTCTTTATTTACAAATACTATAGATTATCCTCTGTTATCACAATTCTGCATAGAAGTCGCACCTCCATTCCTTCTTCCACTTCAACGGTCGTCTCAAATGAAGACGAAGACTCAATGGACAAGACACCATCAGGTCCAACCTTATCAATTGCTTCCGCAATCATTTGCCCAATCAACTCATCATTTCCAGCAGAAATAGAAGCAACAGCTGCCACAACACCAACAAAACACATAAACAAAAGGTCTTAGAGCAGCATCTAAATAACAACAACATAAACAATAAATGATATTAAAAAAAAATACCTTTGATATCGTCTCCACCTTCGACAGGCCTTGCCTTCTTCTCCAACTCCTTCACCAATCCCTGCACAGTTTTATCAATCCCTCTTTTAAGAGACACAGGATTGGCCCCAGAAGTCACACTGAGAAGCCCCAGCTTAATAATCTCGCGAGCAAGAACCGAAGCCGTGGTGGTCCCATCACCGGCAGAGTCATTAGTCTTACTAGCAACCTTAATTAACATTTCAGAATGATTAGTCTTTCTAGCAACCTTAATTAACATTTTTCCACACAATCTCAAAATACCATCAACAACATACAACCATAACATTCACGAACCTCTCTAATAAGAGCTGCACCAGCATTCTCCATGGCATCGGGAAGCTCAATAGCGCGAGCAATGGTCACACCATCGTTAACCACTTTAGGATTTCCAAACTCATCCAACACAACATTCCTCCCTAAAAAATTTCCAAGCAATGAAATAATAGTGAATCTCTGTTCTAGATAACAAAACTAACCTGGATTTAAACAGAAGCCCACCTCTCGGCCCAAGAGTAAGCCCAACGGCGTCGGCGAGCTTGTCAATGCCGGCCTGAATGGCTGCCCGAGAACTCTGGTCGAACGCAATCTCCTTCGCGGAGGCCTTCACCGCGAAACGGTTATTCGGTTGCCGGTAATTCACTCTTCCATTGTGGTTCACTCTTCGAGCCAGAGACTGTAAGAGAAAAAAAAATCGAAACCAATTAATCACACACGCACACAGAGATAAACACAAAATCTTCGATTGTTTGTTGTTATGAGGAAAATGGAATTGAATTTGGAGAAGGTACCTGGCGGTTGGGAGAGCGAAGAATGGAAGCTGAAGAGAGAGCGTTTGCTGAGGCCATGGTGTGGAGTGAAAGGAAATGGATAAGGGAGTGATAACTCTATTACACTGAAACAGAGTGAAAAAAGATTAGGGTTTGGTTTTTATGGAGAGTGTTGGGGTTCTAGAAAATTCCACCTATTCCAGAACCGTTGAGGGGGTTCTTCCTAATGCAAATTGCTACTTTGGGTTTGTCGCTTATTTATTATTATTTACTATGAGATGTAAGAAAAGAATATCATTTCTTATCTTAAAATTAAAATGAAATTTATAGACAATTTTATTTATAACTAAGAAATTAATATTTTAATTTTGACGTTTGAAATGTAATTCGTACTATAAGTATAAAGTGATTAGTGGTTGATTAAAAATTAATGTATATATATGTTAAATAAATTATGAAGTTGTTAAAGTTTAATTCAGGAAACATTTAAAGTTTAATTCAAGAAAAAAGAGGCTTTAATAACAAATCCTCAAGTGGAGTAACGGAGATTCATCATATTAATTAATATATAACATTAAAGTATATAAAATATTTATTTATACATAGATTTATCTTATGAAATATGGACACGTGTATAATATAATGTTAAGAATGTAATTCAAAGAATTCTGAAACTCTCAATTTTGATATTAATCTCGCTCTTGTCATTACAAATTACTTATAACTATTACATTTTCTTTTTCTGAGATCATGTTATTACAATCTACTAATTACTATAGTTCCTTTCTGGGCCATCAAACATATAAAGGTGAATGTTTTAATTAAGGTGATACATTTATAAATATAAATATTTATGTAAATATTTGTGATATAGGATATTCACTTTTATCCTTTAAAATATATGATTTTTTCAATTTTAAAACAAGTTTTATATTTATAATTATTTTTTATTTCGATTAAGTTTTTACATATTATTATTATTATTAAAATGTAATTTAATATATTACTATAAATATAATTTAATTCATATATCAAGGACTAAATTGTATTGTAATAATAATATATACAAGTTTATTTAAAAAAAATATTAAAAATTATTTTTTTATTAATAATCAATAAATAATAAAAATATATATTTTAAAAGAATAAAAAAATCTATTCAACCCATGTGATTTACATGAAAAATATATATTTTTAATTCATTCACATTTTTATAAATTTTAGAAAAGTATTTTAGTAATTTATTATATTATCAATTAATATATATTTTTAATTTTTTTCACTAATAAAATTAATTTAATTTCTTCTTATTATTCACTATCATCTAATATAACAAATTTTGTTCATAGTTAGTTTTAATATTTGTGTATTATTTTGCTGTCCATGTTTTCATATAAAATATTGTTTATATTTTTGTCTCTTCTTTTTTTTGTTCGTATTTATAGTTCCTGTTATCACATTATGTAATTCGTGATTTCATTTCAACTCCTCTTCCTAGACTTCGTCTTATTAAGACAAGTTTGTTTTTGCTTACTTTACTTGTGGACATAAAAACCAATGGTTTTGTGTTATTTTGCTTGCATCATTAGTCTTTCCACCCAAAATTTTAGCAAACCACTAACCACATGTATACTATAATTGTGATAAGTAAGTTGATTTATTATATCATTATTATAAAGAATCATGAATAAAAATTATCTCTATGATCTAAATTTTGCGTTTGATTTGTTAATTATTTTCGTTAGACTATTTCTATTTCAGTTATGTACCATTGATATAGAAAATATATTATTTATGTTGATTGTTTAATTGAAATAGAAAATACATTTTAACCAAAAAAATATATATTATTTTTATTAGTGTAATATATTTATAATATAATTGATTATATGTAATTTTTTTAAATAAAAAAAGTTGTCTTTTTCATTCTCGAGTAATTTTTATGCCCATTTCATTATATATATATATGTCAATAAGTTAAATGAAAATAATTATGATACGTGAGTCTTAATTTGTGAATTTAAATTATAATTTTATAGGTTTTTTTTTAAATCATTATAAAATTATAAAATTTGTTATATTTATAACAAGTTTGGAGCAGGATTTAAATGTACCAATTTGATAGGAATATTATAATTAGTTAAATACATGAGTTCAAATCCATTTTTTTATATTATAATATTTATATAAATTTATTTTTCATATATCTCTTTAATAAATAAAAACTTTTAACTATTCAACTTCATCCTATAAAATCATCGCCTCTCTAAATTTATAGATCTTCTCACTTTTCTCTAAAATCTCTCATAACTTACTCATATTTTTATATCTAAGTATGTCATAGTGCTCTTGACAGAGAGTATAATAGCTTTGTCCCATCAAAAGTTTGATTATAGTAAGTTTGACTTAACCATTTTTTTTCTTACATGGGACTTAAGGTTTTTGCACCTGGTTTTTTAGATAAAAATAAATTTCTACTATATATTTACTTTGTTCAAGATTTTTTGTACACATATTTAGTTAGTATAATGTGATTAATTGGGTTTAAATATGCTTTTGTGAAAAACCATATGGTCAATTTTATGTAGAGATAACTAAGTTGGTGAAATTACATTAGTGGAAATCACGGAGAAGTGGTTTAAAATGAATTGAAAAGTATTTTGAGCGTATATGTTACATAATTCTCATTTTTATATATATATATATATATATATATATATATATATATATATATATATATATATATATATATATATATATATATATATATATATATATATTCAAGAACAAGGACTTAAGCGATAAAATTATCATACGATGTAATTACCTTGTCTCATTTTTACACGAAAAATACGATTAAAGATTTGTTCAAACACTATTCTTAGAATTTTAAATAAATTATAATGCTTCAAATTGATTGATGTTGATTATCAATATTTATTATAATATAAACTAATTATTGTTGTAGGTTGAATAATGTTTATCACATAAAGATAGATTTTTAGCAATTTTAAGGAAGAAAAAAAATATTTTTATCAATTAAACTATTTATAAAGTTTCAATATGTACTACTACAAAACTAGTTTTTTTTTTCTGTCATTGTAAAAAATTGTTTAAATTTATAGAAAACTTATTTCTTGTAATTTTTACAAAAACTTTGCAAAAATATTCCCAAGAATTTTTAGTAGTGATGACTAATTTTTATTTTGAGTATTTAATAACTTATTTTTTAAAATTAAATATCTAATAAAGTAAAAAACATTTAATTGTACGTTGTTTTTATCTCCCTTATGCATTTTTGTTTGTTAAATTGAAACAACTATCACATATTCTAAATGTAGAAAAATATATAAATTAAGTTTTTTTATTACCTCTATTATTGATGGTGATAAGTCTTCATTTTTTCGAGAGATAAAGCGAGAAAATTTCAAGAAACAAGTTGTAGAGAAGACATCAGTGTAAGAAAGTTTTATGTATCATAGGAGGTGGAAGAAAGGTAAAAGAAACTTAAAAACTTGATTGAATATTGTTGTGTTGATACAAGGAAAAACCTATCTTATATAGGTTCTGAGAACTAAAGAAAAAGGGAAAAAACATAAACTTTAAAAGTAGGAATAACTCTAAACAAACAGTTAATCATTGTATAAAAACAAAAAGTCCTTTTTAAGGGTTAGGTTCTAATACGCTCTCCTCAAGCTGGATGATGAATACTTAACATCCCAAGTTTGGGGAATGATGACCTTGAATGAGGTTCGATGAGGGTCTTGGTAAAAACGTTAGTTAATTGATCAATAGAGCGAATGACAAAAAAATGGAAGAGATTTTCTTGAAGCTTTTGACGAACCACATGACAATCTATGTCAATGTGCTCTATTATCTCGTGAAACGTTAGGTTATGTGCAATATGTCTTGCATATTGGTTGTCATAGTAAATGATAGTTTGAGCGGTGGAATGAACCTTTAAGTCACAAAGGAGATAGCTGAGCCATTGGAGATCGTGCTAGCCAAAACCCTGTATTCTACTTCTTATGAAGATCGAGATACAATAGTTTGTTTTGATTTCTAGTATATCAAAGAATTACCTAGGAAGATGCAATAGCCAGTGACACTCCTTCTAGTATTGGGACAAGTAGCCCAATCTGAATCACTAAACCCCATTATCTATATATCATTATTGGAGGCAAAGAAGAGATCGCGTCCTGAGTCAACCTTGATGTAACGGAGGATGTGTTGCACAACTTGTTGGTGATATGTGGTTGGTTCCTGCACAAATTGACTCAGTAAATTTATATAATAGGTAATGTCAGGTCTACAATGAGTTAAGTAGAGTAGTTTCCTTATTAGATGTTTGTAGGATTTAGCATTATTCAGATGTTCAACCTTTTCATAAAGATTTTTGACATCTTTCATGAGAGGAGTTTGGCTAGGTTTGAAGTCCATCATTCCAGTCTCTGCTAAAATATCTAAAGCATATTTGTGCTAGCATAAATGGATCCTCTTGTTGGATCTAGCAACTTCAAATCCAAGGAAAAACTTTAAGTTTCTTAGATCTTTGATTTTGGAGGCTTTGTGCAAGAGCATTTTAGTATTATCTATGTCAGCTATAGAATCTCCTGCAAGGATAACATTATCCACATATAATGGGAGAATAGTGAAAGTATTAGCCGTTTCTTTAGATAGAGAAGCATTATCTACATCAATTTGGTGTAATGTCAGTTTATTGTGGCTGCAAGAGCTAACAAAAGTCTCACTGTGATGAGTTTAGTAACAGGAGAAAATGTATAGTCCCCTCTGCATTGTATTTAATTTTAAAAACCCATTTACAACCTATAGTTTTCTTTCCTTCCTTCAAGAATATTAGTAAATTCCCAGGTTTCATTTTCTTCTAGAGCTCTAAGTTCTTCAGCATAAATACAAGGTTCATGATGGATAGATATAACAAGAGTATAATTTAGATGTTCTTTACATAGAGATTTATAAGAAAGAGCAAATGATGGAAATAATCTCCTCCTTCCACCAAAGAGACGCCCAAATCTATACCTCAAGCTCTCAAGTGACCGAAAATTGTTCCCCAAGTATCAAAAGAAGATTTGACACTAACCCCTCCAAGGAAGGTTCCTTATTTAAGAGACAAGGAGAAGAAAATCTCAAAAAGACACTTGAAGTCAAGCAAGGTACAAACAAAATTGTAAGTTTCACACACTAAGCTTGGATTTCCTTCGAATGTGTCAAAGAAGCTACACAAGGAGTTATATTTATAGTGTTCCCCCTCTTATCCACTTCAAGTATTTAGATATGTGGGACTTATTATGCTCTTATGTGAGGTGCTGAAAATAGGCTCTAGAAATCTCACGTTCTTATTTTTTATGATTTCCTAAGAGTTTATATACCATATTGAACACAATGGATTACAAGCACTTGTATTGGTGCAACCTTGACCGTGTGAATGGATCTTGATCGTGAGCTTGGTGCAGTCACCATGGTGGCTTGCCCGAGTGACTTTTGGCTACACCTTCTTGGACCATGATAACTTCTCTTTTATGTTGTCTTCTTCTTCTAAGTTCCACATTGAATAAGAAAAGGTTTCCTCAAGTGTTTATATACTCCAAAGCTTCTTTAAGGTGCATCTAAGATGACAAAGAGGAGAGCTTGGTCGTGTGGTGTCCTTGGTGTGCTCCTATGACTTAGTTGATCTTAGTTTGGTGTGCATCTGTTAGGTTGCAATATGTACGTTGCATTGTCATATTTATAAAACTTATTATACAATAAGTTTAGTGAAAACAATTTAAAAAATATTATTGAGTTTTTTGAATAAAAGCTTTGGAACCTTGAAATTTATTTAAATATAAATTAAAATTAAATTAATATTTAGAAGTTAATTATTTCATATTAGTTTTTTTTAAATAACTCATTAAATTAAATTTAGTTTATAACTAAATTTCATTCTATTTTTTTCTTCAAATAATGTTATAATTTTTTTTATCAATCATATAATTTGTGGGATGAGCATGGAGTTCTATAGTATTCAACTTCACATTCATGTCTATCTAGGGTTGCAAAATTAATATCTCAACATAAAAAAGAGCTATAAAGTTATAAAACAAATTAAAAATAATTTTTTTAATTATTAAACACTTACTATAAAGTTAAATTGGGTATACAATGATGATGATGATGATAACAAAATAGATTAGGTTCAAGGCGGTCCACCTTAAAAATGGTGGAATGTGTTAGTAATTTTAGTCTATCGATCCGTTTTGTCTAGCTCGCCAACTTGGTGGACCAAATATAGAGTGGAGTGGACTCACTCGCTTGAAAAAAATATTTATATACTAAAATTAAAATAAAAATTATTATAATTAAAAATATTATATTTTTTTTATTATGTTATTAAATATGTAAATATATTATAATTTAAATTATAAAAATTAATTAATTAAATTTAAATTATTTATTATAATTAGTTATTTTGACACATAAATATAATATTTTTTAATTTATTTAATAAAAATATTAATTAATAAATAAAAACTTAAAAATTATTCATATAATTTTAGATATATATTTTTTTCAAAATACATATAAAAAAATATTTTTCCATAAATTGTCTTAAAACCAATAAGTAATAAACAAAATATTTTTCCATAAATTGTCTTAAAAAATATTTATTGATGAGTAAAATTTTTAAAATAGTTTATCTGTTAGGGCTAAAGACAAAAATAAAATCATTAAAGTTCAGATCTAAAAGTTATTCAACTATAGTTTAATTACTAATATACTAACAAAATATTTATTCTTTGATTTAAATTTTTATATAAATGCATATAAAAGATATTCTACTTATTGTTTTCTTTCATTCTCTTTTCATGTACAAATTTTACTTTTATCATTAACGAAAGGTTTCGAAATTGTGGTATATATTTTCTTTTGTAGGTCTAAGTTACGGATGACAGAAATATCTACATTCCTAGATATTTACAGGTAAAATTTGTAATAGATATAAATATTAATAATTTTAAATTATTAATAAAATTGTAGGTGTTTAGATTTAAAACGACAAATATTAAGATCAATTGAATAAATATAAATTAAAGATGCTTTTTATTTTTAAATTTTTATAATTATAGATAAAGAGAGATTAACTATATATTTTTGTATTGATACATTTAAGAATTTTAAAAAATGTTTTGGTAAGATTTGGTGAAGATAGGAGAGGATAGAACATGGAAACATGAAATGATAGCCAAAATAGATCCTTATTTAACCAGATTGAATCCTAATTCACCACCCAGACTCTCCTCTCGCTCACCCAACTTGGGACCAGAGAGCATAAATGTTGAATAATCAGGTCTCATCCAATTAGAACTAAATCTTGCCTAACATTGAAGACAAAGAGTAAGAAAAAGTGTTTTTAGGTTCTTACGACGAGAGTTACACCTTACCTAGTCAACCCTAAAAAAAAAATGCTATTAGGCCTTGTCTAACGAGCTTAAACTCAGCGAACCACTTATATGTTGTTTCACCATTGACTCAAAATCTCAAATATGAAGGAGATTTGAGGTTAGAAGAGATATATGAACATAAGAGAAAGCTAGAACATTCCTCCATTGAAGAATTTCTTCCATAGGCTCCATCTCTATTACTTTTTTACCCTTTTATTTTCTACGCTATTCAGAATCATCTCTAAGTTCTCTTTTTTGGGTTAAATTTAATCCCCATATTCTTTTGTATATTTTGATTATATTTATATATAATCTTCATTTTTTGTCTTTACTGTTATTTTATCTTTGTGTTTATTGATTATTTTGACTTAATCAATCATAAATTATTTTTATTTGTTAAAAATTGAAAAATATATTCTTGACTAAGATAAGAATCAATAAATAATTTATTTGAGAATTGAGAATAAATTATTAATCATCCTTAGATCTTGAACTTAATACAAGTTTATCCATTTGAGCTTGTAAGAGATAGTTTGGATTTATTATAAGGGATTGAAGTATAATCACTATTGATTATAAGGATTTTTAATCATGAAGAAAAGAAAAAAATGATTTAATAAACTTAATAAACCAAAAGAGTGGAGGGGTGAAATCTAATCCAAATAATATCTATATATCCATCTTTATCTAATATACTTTTGTTAATCCAAAAATACCCTATTTATTTAATTTCAATATTACTATCAAAATTTAAATTATCAAATCATATTTCTTTTCATTTAAGCTTAATAACATAAAGTTAATGTAGCTTTTAGTATTATTACCAAATGTCTATAAATTCATATAATTTTACTTATTTTATTAGTAAGTTTACTTAAATATTTTTTGAATAAAATAAGCAAAAGTTATTCACATATTAATAATTAAAAAATTGATTAAAAATTAATTTTATAAAATTTATTTTTATTTAAATTTATGGTATAATGCAACTTACTTAAATTTGTTTTATTAAGAAATTAATTTTATATTATACTAATACCATGTAATTTTATTTAAATTATATATAAGAAAAAAAATTTCCTTTGAATTTTTATTTTAAAAATAATTTTTAAATAAATAATATAAAATTGACTAAAAAAATAAAAAATATAATATCTATAAATAATTATAGATATAAAATAATCCATAAATATTTTTAAGTAATATTTTTTTAGACAAAAGCTTTCTGTATCGACAATACTGCGATTATTATTATAGCCTAATAAGTTTTCACTTACGTGTGAAAATCAAATATAGACACATATACATAAATAAGTAATAATATAATTGAATAATATAAAAATGGTTTAAATATTATTTGGTTGGCGTATTCAAAGTATAAACAATAAAAATTAGATAAAAATTTTACCAGAATTAAATTGAAATTTAAAAATTTTATCAGGATAAAAATATTTATTTTATACTATTAGTGAATTAGAGCAGGAGACACGTGAATGTTTTCTTGCTTCATTTCGTTATTTCTTTTTCCCCACTTTAATTTACTTAAGTAAGAAAAAGGTACCTAAATAATCAAATAATTTGATATGTCATAAGTGTTTTTTTTTTTTAACTTCATCAAACTATAGACTAATTAATCTAATTCATAATATATGATTATTGTTAGTCACTCTAATTTCACACGTAAATTTTTGAGATATCTTTGTTGTGTTATTTTTTGAGTAATGATAAAGATTTCTCCAACAAGTAAAAAACATAACATGACATTTTCGATTAATTAAGGTCCCGATGGGTAGGGCAACTAAATGAAGAAGCTATATATGCTAATAATAATAATAATAATAACACGGACATGGATTAACTTTGTGTATAATTGGTAATAAAAATTAATTAAGAAAAACGCCAGAAATCACTTCATTCTTTCTCCTTTTTCCATCACCACTTGACCTCAGCCCAACCTCGTCATCAATGATTGGAGCATTTCGATCTCAGCAGCAGAAAACTCCACATTAAAGTTTGAAAACACATCAAAATCCAATGGCAGAAACGTCTCTTTTGAATTGATCTCATTGTCTACTGACACATCTACCGAATTTGCATGCAGACCAACAACAACGTTGGTGTCCTCAGAAGGTAGCGGTGGTGGTAACGGTAGTGAGGATGGTGATGTTGATGATGTTACAGCAGCCATGGAAGGTGATATCCCAGTGCCAGTGGAAGCAATAATGGAGGGCTCAGCCTGGCGTAGAAGCCACCCTATGGTCTCACCATGAGTCTTGTAACCTAGCTCACGAGTGAGTTGGAAGATGCGAGCAGCACACAAAGGTGGCAGAAGAACACGTCGTTCTCTGCCATTCACCTTGGTGTGGCGATCTTTCTTTGCCCTTAGAGATGGTAGCTTTGTGTTGGTGGGTTTAAGAGGAGCAGGGGTATTAGAATCCATGGTTTTGCTTGGTTAACCAAAGAACTTGAATGAACAAGACCTAATAAACTGAACCCTCTTTATACTAATCATCCATAGCAGCCACAGAAACGTTTATTAATATAATAATATAACATCTACAATTTTTTAGTATTTTATAAATAAATTATTAAATAAAACAATAAATCTATTAAATGTCTTAAACTAAAGAACTTTTCTACTTATTATACCACATAAAACAAGTTGGAGGATCAGTAAGAAAATATTGTAAAAATGTGGAATTATTCCTATTAATTGATAGACTTCTATTTTGCATGGTTGCTTAAATGGACAAATTTAGATGTAGTTCTTTAAATATTTTTTATTCCTAATCAGAATTAGGATTCACTTTAGTAATTTATGTAATAAAAAAACTACATTAAAAAATTTACCATAAGTTACCATAGCAGTACTGTTTTAACAAATAAGGAATTGTTTTTAATTTAATAGAAAAGTTTCTGTTGTCTTTGACAAACAGTTCAGAAGATGTTCAGATTAGTTTTGGCTTCAAAGTTTCAAATTGGGAAGGTTTAAGCATAATCTGAGCTTGAATATTTGGGTTGTGACTAAATGTGGTAAAACCATCAATGCCTGTTTTTGTAACGCCCAAGAAAGCATGAGCAAAATGAGCATTTTTAGGGTTATGCAAAGCTTTCAAATTCATCCGCCAAGGCTTCTTAATCCAAAGTTTGGTGGTATCTGAAGGAAAGTTGGTGCATGCCAAAAATGAAGGTGCAAAAAACATGACAAGTAAGCCATGGTGAGTGTACAGTACTCAAGTTCAGGACTAAAAACGTTTTCAAGCACAACTTGCTTAGTTGTCTTCTCTGCAGGGGTTGATTCTATGAGTTTTAAACGTTCCTGATTCTGAAACATCTTGGTTGTCTCCCATTTAGGGAATGCAACAAATAAAGCTGACAACTCATGAGCATGGAAGCATGTAAGGACTCACAAACAAACAAACCGTTTCATAACACACGACCTCCTTTCTTGTTTTCACGTAAAAACACATGCTTCAGGTCATAATTAACCTTTCTTCATGATTGAATTAAATAAAATAAGATAAATAAATGTTATTTAAAGACAAAAAAAATGAGAGTTAAATATATAACCTTTGATTATTTCACGTGACCTTTGTTTAGACTCATCATTTGTGTACGTTGAAGAAAATAAAAAAAACTTTATATATATATATATATATATATATATATATATATATATTACGTAAAATTGCTTAGATTGGTTTTATTCTTCGATCAAAACTAGAAAGAGTTTAATCTTAGTAACATATGTTTACAGTCGATGTAAACTTTTATTACACAATTATTATTATTATTAAGATTAAACTCAAATTCTAATTGAAAATTAATTTCAAATGGATTTAAGAAAATAATGTATATGAGTTGTGGTTATTCTCCCTTTTTTGCATTAATGAATTTGACATTTAACCCAAAGCATAAAAATATATGGAAAATAATATGAAGTAAATATTTTCTCTTTTAAATTCAACCACCTTAAGTTTTTTTGTGCTTACTTTAAATTGAAAATGAATTGTAATATATATACATATATATATATATATATATATATATATAATATATATATATATAATTACAATTATATTAATATTTTAATATTGAAACATGATATTGCACTTACTAGAATATAAATTCTATATTAAAATGCAATTTATAAATCACAATTCACATTATAAGTAAGTAGAAATTTTATATAAAATTATATCTTAAATTATATATACATTTTCACGTCACATTATAAAATGTATAAAAGGACGAGGATAAATATATTTTTTTTACATTATAATGAAAAATAAATTTGTTTTGATATTTAAATAACAAGAAAATATTTGTGTGACATGGAAATTAAATTACATAAATTATATTGACATGGAAATGATAAAATATATGCTATTAAAAGTTTACGAATTATGATGATATTAACATTAAAATTAACGGAATAATTATTTACATTCCATGTGAACAAAAACTTCAAATAAAAGTATACTGCGAAATTTTTTTTAATAAAAGTTGACATGTAAAATAAATAAGTTTTCACCAACACTCCATATTACCAAATAAACTACACAAGTAAATTTTACATAATATATGACTAGAAAATTTACATTTATATTAATATTTTTATTTTATATAATTTATGAATTCCATGTTAATATATTTATTAATTGTGAAATAGTTATATAAAAACAAATGTATATATTTGTACTAAAAAAAATGTATATATAAGTAGTGGATTGAAGATGTTAAAATGCTAGTATTGGTGAAAAAATAAAATATGGTGTAGTGTGAAGTTACAAAAGTGTCATTTAAAGAAACCAAATTATGAGTGTGACACTTGTCCCGATTGCATCACCATCCTCGTAAAAATGCATATATTTTGTATACATTGGTTTTGATTGGTTAATTTATAGGTTACGTAAAATGTATTCATTTTGATGTCAGTAAATGATGTTTCCCTATACATCGCCAACTCTTCCTCTTTGTCTCCATTTCCTTTAGAAAAATGCGAATACGCAACTCATGCGCTTTCTTTCTCTCTCTTCATCTACAATCTGGTTCTCAATCCACCATTTCTTAGCCTCTATCTGTTATTCTGCTTCTTTTCATCATGAATTCAACCCTTTGTGTCTACATTTTTTTCCCTTTCTGTTGATATCAATATATAAAATTTCCACGTTGTAAATAATAAATATGATGATGAATCTTCCTAACAAGACAAGGAAGGTTCCTTTTGTCAATGTTGTTGTATTAATAAGCTTCATTGTAGGGCCAAAGCTAGTTTTTGGCCAGGATAGTGGTGGAGGTGGAGGTGGTACTGGTGCTGGCATTGAGATATTTGCCCAAGAAGTATATCGTAGCATGTCCAATTACACATCTGTGTTCAAGAAAGCAATACAAAAAGAGTTGGGCTTTTGCGTTGTTGATGTGTGAGTCCCATCATTTATAACACCTCTGTTCTTGTCTTAAACAATGGTGATTCAAATATATCACATTATTGGTGTCATTTTGTTTCCCTCCAGGGATGCTGATTGGAATGGGGCATTTAATTTCACCAAAGATCTTACCTTTTTGACCATTTGTGCCCAAGAAATGAAAGGTACTATTAAAAAATAAACTACCATTTAAGATGTTTGTCTATTGGTAGATGATAAACGTAAAAAAAATTGCATCTACGCAAAAACGCAACACACATAGATTTTATATATCAGTATTGATGATCATGCAGGGAAAAAAAAATTGCTGTGCAGGGACATTTTTATATCACCGTGAATCTTTGTACAGTTGTTAAGTTTTTTCCGATGTTTTTGGTATAATTTGTGTTTTTGTTTTTGGTATTTTTAGGAGATATTACCCAACGCATGTGCACAGAAGCAGAAATACTAGCTTATGGTCAAAGTTTCGGTGGTGGGAAGACAGGATCGAGCTTCTTGAAGCCGAACATAAATTGTAATATGAGTGCATGGGTTAATGGTTGTGAACCCGGATGGGGTTGTAAAGCTAATCAGAAAGTAAATATTGACAGTACCAAGAAGGAAATACCTGTTAGATCTGTTGATTGCCAACCTTGTTGTGAAGGTTTCTTTTGCCCTCGTGGTCTCACTTGCATGATACGTAAGCATTTATATTCATGCAGCAACAGCACAACATTAGCTATTGTTAGTATTTCATGAGAATAAAAAAGATGATTCATTGTTTAACAACGAGGAATTTAAAAGAATGTATAGTTGGAGATATGGAAAGGGAGATGGTGAAGAAATTGTATTAGTTTTTCACACACGTTATATATACATTGCTTATTCGTAAGTTTAATCCATTACCACGAGAGTAGTCTATAATATTTTAAATATAATTTTAGTTTTTTATAATTCTAGAATTATTAAGATTTATTATAAAACTACATTTTACTTTCATATTATAGATGAAGGGGTGTCAAAGTGAGTTAACTGAGCTCACCACGGGATTGAGCTAAAAATAGGTAAACTCAACTGCATTCACTTTTTTGACAAGTCAAAAATTTCATAACCCAACTCAACCCATCACGGATTGGTGGGTTGACTCACTAACCCATATTTTTTTAATTTTTTAAATTATATATATATATATAATTGCATTGTAAGATATTAGCACAATGCTACAATTCTCAAATAAATATTCATCAATTCAATCATTTAGGTTATGCTACAAATTCTTACCTTTGAAAGCGGTACAGTTAACATGGTGGTGTAGTAGTGTGGTGGATAGATGATAAGACAAGTGATCCAAGTGCAACGACAAAGGTAGTGATGCGGAGAACAACTGATAACAATCTTGAGTGAGGATTTGACTTGTGACAGCAACAACAATGTATGGTAGAGGTGATGTAGGATAACATCAATTAAGGTTACTAAAGTATTATAATTATTTTTAAAATTTAAAATAAATGATTAATTAGGATTAATATATTATTATAATTATTTTAAAATTTAAAATTAATGATGGGTTGGGGGCTAACACACCATAACCCAGCTCAAACCCGTTTAACTTGTGAGTTAAGTGAGCCAGATTTATTTTTAGCTCATAATTGGTAGAAATAAAAAAAAATTGAATCTAACCCGGCTCAAACCCGTGGTGAGTCGGGTTGACTCACGAGTTAGAACCCATATTGACATCTCTAGAGATGACAATACAGGTGAATGCATCCTGATTTGGTCCGATCGAAGCGAGTATGATGAGGTAGTAAGTCATAGTTAGGATCATAATCTATCTATCAAAGGATAGGTTAATGGGTTAGTGGGTCGACTTGTCAATATTTTATATATATATATATATATATATATATATATATATATACATTTAATTATATAAATAATTTTTAAATTTTTATTTATTAATTAATATTTGTATTAGATAAAATAAAAAATTAGTATATATGTACATTAAAATATATAATTATAATCAATACTTAAATTCAATTGATTAATATTTATAATTTAAATTATAATATTATAGTATATTTACATATTTCAATAACTTAACACAAAAAATATAATAAGTATAATTCTTTCTTTTTTAATGTATATATTTTCTTTTAATTGGTCGATCCTGCCATGTTCTACCCTTGGTCCACCAAATTGACGAGCTAGGCAAGACGAACCAAAATGATACAAGAATTAAAACTACAAACTCATCCTGTTATTTTGGAGATGAACTAGTGGGCTGACCCATTGAGTCTAATCCATTTTATCATTCCTATTCCATACATTTCTAGATATCTTATTTGTAATTTTCTAGAGTTTTCTTACGGGTGTCATATATGATTTCTAGATTAATCTAGAAATTTGTATCATCTATTTTAACAATACTCCTTGAGTCAAAAATTTTATAACTCTAGGTATGAATTTGACTACTCAAACTTGGCTCTAAGTAATATCTTAATAAATAAGTCTAAATTTTGATCTTTTGTAGTGTAATATTTAAGTTGAATTTGTTTGGTCGTTTTGACCTCCCTAGTGAAATGATAATTTGTTTGGTCGTTTTGACCTCCCTAGTGAAATGATATTTAATAGTTGTGTTTTATTATTTGATGAACTAGATTTTTGCATCATTATTGCCGACTTATTGTCGCAATAAATTGTAGTAGACTTATCTTGTTATTTTCCCATTTCTTCAAAGTCATATTACTTGACTTGTAGTTTTAGTTGTTGTTATTCTGTCTATGTTGTAGATTGTGCTAATATTGCTTGCTTTTTATATGCTCAAGAGAGAAGTTTTGATCCAAGTAAGAAGGTATAATCTAACGTACTTTTCATTTAATATATCAATATTGTTCAATCACTACTAATAGTCAATCAACTTTGAGTCGATCATGGTTTTATATCATATATCAAACCTTTGTATCTTGTAGATATTTTTAAATTCTTTTTTTAAGTTCGAAAATAAATTTGATTTGGCCTTTGCATAAACCTTGACAGATGAATTGTAGCATACATGATATGTAGCTATAAAATATAGTAAGCTACGAATCAAATTCCTACATGGTGATGTGTCAACTTCTGGTGTTCCACCATTTTTTCGTAACTTCTCATTTGTCATGAGTGGAGTAGCCACAATTTTACAACCATTCATCATCTTGAACTTCCAGAATAAAGCCTTAATATATCTCTTTTGAGAGATAAATATTTCTTCTTTTTGTGGTTTTTCCTCTATGTTGAGAAAATAATTCATTAAGTCAAAGTCACTCATCTCAAATATTTTCTCATGTCTTCTTTGAATTCTCTTATCATCTTCATATTGTTTTCCGTGTAAATAAGATCATCTACATATAAAGAAATAAAGAAATTATATATTAATCCTATGTATTGAAGTATAGTATTCACTCACTCTTACTCGTCTTAGATCATTTATATGTGAAGTATTAACTCAATTTTGTTGTATCATACTCAAGAAGCTTGCTTCAAGCCATATAATAATTTTTTTAACCGTAACACTTTGACTTCATTTCCTTTACTTATAATTCCTTATGGTTGTTCCACATATATCCTTCTTCAAGACTAGGAATAAAGCAAGATATCTTATTAGTCTTGTACCTTTCTTTTTCTTCATCACAAAATCTTTTCCTTTTGGCTCCAATAGTAGAACTTTATAGTTAGCAATAATGTAAATTGCTTTTGTCCAAAAGGTATTAGATAAGTCTTTCTCCTTTAGTATTAATTTAGTGATCTCCATTACTATATAATTCTTTTTTTTTTAATACACCATTTTATTGTATTGTATATGTAAATGTAAGTTGTGTTTCTATTATTTCATCTTCATAAAACTTGTCAAATTTGTGAGTTATATTCTTTATCTTGATCACTTCTTAGAACTTTTACGTGTCTTCCACTTTGATTTTTATTGATTTTTATGGAGGGCTTTAAATTTTTAAATATTTTTAGAAATATATTTTACTAGATTATTTTATCCATAAATTTCTAATTTTTTTTAGATTGTATATATTTTTTCTAGATTATTCTAAAAATTGGTATTATTTATTTTGTGGTTATTGGTTTATATACTAATGTGATTGACTTTGATAACTTCAAACAAACGAAAATGTGTTTGGATGTTCTAATTTCATTCATCTGTTGCACTTTTTTTGGTTTACTGCTGAAGCTTGCCCGTTAGGCTCGTATTGTCCGCGTGGAGAACTCAATAAAACTAGTGGAGTCTGTGAACCGTAAGTCCTTCCCTTTTAGTTCTACTCGTGCTACATTCTTGTTTTTGCTCACTGATATTTATCAACAGAATCAATATGCAGATATCGTTATCAGCTACCTCCTGGAAAATCTACCCATACTTGTGGTGGGGCAGATATTTGGGCTGATATTACGAGTAGCAGTGAGGTATTCTGCTCATCAGGATCATTTTGTCCCTCTACAATCGTAAAAAATCCTTGCAATAAGGGGTATTAATATCTGTACCTATAAATACTATATGCTTTTACTTACTCTATCATGAAACACTTGTTTTACTTATTATTTGTTCTCATGTCATTTGTATATTCTAAACTACTTTTATATATAAATTATAGGTATTATTGCAGAACAGGTTCTACTTCTCCAGAGCGTAAGTTGTCCAAGTCTATTAATTTGATGTCTCTTCAAATTGATTTTCCTAGTAATCATATTCTTTTGTGGTCATTTTCATTTTCTACTATCATGTTTAGGAAATCTGTATAATGTCAATGCAGGTGTGAGTTATTAGGTGTGTCAACAAGTATTAAGTACTCTCGAATAAAGGAAACATGATAACATCACTCTTAATCTTTTGATATAGCTCGATGTATCTATTGTTCATTTGATAGTAATTATGTTAATTTTATAAGCAATACAACTACAAATTTGTTAGATATCATGGGTGTGAAAGGTGATCTATGTGGCAAGAGATAACAACTCTGATGAATGTTTCTCCCTCCCTTTAACTTCTACAGGGTGTTTCAAATTGGCAACTTGTGAGCCTAAGTCAGCGAATCAAAATATTACTGCATATGGTGTCTTGGTTTTTGTGAGTAATATTTAAACATTTTGTTTTAAAAAGCACTGCTGGCTTCTGGATACAATTTGTAGCATGTTTAAGTAACAGAGCCATCATGATCCAACAAAACTGATTCTAAAATTTTCAATACAGGCTGGCTTGTGTTTTATGCTTATTATCATATACAATTGTTCTGACCAAGTTCTTGCAACTCGAGAAAGAAGGCAAGCAAATACAAGAGAAAGGGCTGCTCAAAGTGTAAGAGAATCACAAGCCCGTGAAAAGTGGAAATCTGCGAAAGATATTGCTAAAAAGCATGCAGTGGGACTACAGTCTCAATTATCACGTACATTTTCACGCAAAACTTCAAAAGGTTTTGGTTCTAAACATTCAGATTCTTCTGGACCAGTTTTTGGTAAAGGCAAGAAAAAAGATAAAAACAATCTCACGAAAATAATAAATGACATTGAGGAAAATCCCGATAATCCAGCGGGATTTAATGTTCAGATAGGAGATAAAAATGTCAAAAAGCAAGCACCGAGAGGCAAGCAATTACATACTCAGAGTCAAATTTTCAAGTATGCGTATGGTCAGATTGAAAAAGAAAAGGCTTTAGCAGAACAAAACAAAAACTTGACCTTTTCTGGAGTAATTTCAATGGCTAGTGATATTGAGGTTAGGAAGAGACCTACCATTGAGGTTGCTTTTAAAGATTTAACCCTCACTTTGAAAGGGAAAAACAAACATTTATTGAGGTGTGTGACTGGTAAACTCTATCCTGGTAGAGTTTCAGCAGTCATGGGTCCATCTGGGGCTGGTAAGACAACATTTCTTTCTGCTTTAACTGGAAAAGCAACTGGATGTCATACAACTGGGCAAATTCATATAAATGGTCAGGAATCTTCTATCAGGTCATACAAGAAAATCATTGGGTTTGTGCCACAAGATGATATTGTGCATGGCAATTTGACAGTGGAGGAGAATTTATGGTTCAGTGCTAGATGCAGGTATAGTTTTTTATAACCATTTATTCTCTTACACCACTTTTTATGTTAAACAAGTACAATGTCAGGCAAATTAAGTAGGTACTGTTGTTCATGAGTTCTGTAGATAAAACAATTGAGTATATTATTTTCTTACTATCAAGTTTTCTCTTCTTACATTTTTACTATATTTTTATGTCATTGTAGACTCTCTGCTGATCTACCAAAAGAAGAAAAGGTGTTAGTGGTTGAAAGAGTCATTGAGTCATTAGGTCTACAGGCAATACGAGATTCTTTAGTTGGGACAGTGGAGAAACGAGGAATCTCTGGAGGTCAAAGGAAAAGAGTAAACGTTGGATTGGAAATGGTCATGGAACCTTCCCTTCTAATTTTGGATGAACCCACATCTGGTTTGGATAGTTCATCTTCTCAATTACTTCTTAGAGCACTTAGACGTGAAGCTCTTGAAGGAGTAAACATATGTATGGTCCTTCACCAACCGAGGTAATTTTCACAATTTTGCTATATAGATCAAAACACGTGTTAAGTATAAACCCCAAGATTGGTCTCTTGGAATTGTAAGAAACGCTCTTTCAATCCATGAAAGCAAAAAAGTCATTCACTTTTCTCCTTAATGTCGATAAAAAAATTAGGTACAAAAAGACAAAAAAGTAAATGACATTTTGTGAAGTTAAGAGCTGAATAAGGGTCTAGAAAAATTCATGAACTAGAGTAATAGGAACTTAACCAGTGAGTCTGCTAAAATGTGTCTGATATCTACCTCAGTCAATGGTGTCATTTACTAAAAATAATGCCTTTTTGTGCATGTGTGGTCTCCAGTTACACATTGTTCAAGATGTTTGACGATTTTATACTACTTGCAAAAGGAGGTCTTACAGTGTATCATGGACCAGTGAACAAAGTGGAAGAGTATTTCTCAAGCATGGGCATTAATGTCCCTGACCGTGTCAACCCTCCAGATTACTTCATTGACATTTTAGAAGGAATAGTAAAATTAAGCCCAAGCTTAGGAGTGACCTATAAACAACTACCTGTTAGATGGATGCTTCATAATGGGTATCCCGTGCCCATGGATATGCTAGATAGTATTGAAGGAATGGCCGCCCCAAGTGGAGAAGGCTCATCACGTGGAGCAGTGACTGCTGGACAGAGTGAAGAACCTTCTTTTGCTGGTGAACTTTGGCAGGATGTAAAGTGCAATGTTGAGATGAAGAAGGATATCCTTCACATTAACTTCTTATCTTCAAATGATTTGTCTAATCGGAATACACCAGGAGTGTTCAACCAATACAAATACTTTCTTGGAAGGTAATTGATTTACAAGAGGGAGGGAATATTTCAATCAGTTGTCAATTTTATTTTTATTTGCTGTTGGTTCATTGCAGACTTAGTAAGCAACGACTAAGAGAAGCTAGAACACAGGCCGTGGATTTCTTGATTTTGCTACTAGCTGGCCTTTGCTTAGGTACACTTGCCAAAGTGAGTGATGAATCATTTGGAGCAACTGGTTACACATACACTGTAATAGCAGTATGTAAGTTTCATATGAATTTGTTAACGTGAAAAGTGTTAGTAACACATCTGAACACACCTTCTCTCATCATTGATTGAAATTTATTAGAAATCACAAAATAATAATGAGTGTCTCACTAAACCTGAAGTGGGATCCATGTAATTAAGAACGTGATTTCTAATAAATTACATATAAGAATAGAAAGTGTGTTGAAATGAGTGTATTGCTAGCAACTTTTTTTTGTTATAATTGATATCAGGTTATACCTACTCTGTCATCTAACTAAGGGTTTACTCACAGCACTTCTTTCTAAGATTGCGGCTTTGAGATCATTCTCTTTGGATAAGTTGCACTATTGGCGGGAAAGTTCTTCAGGCATGAGTAGCTTGGCTTACTTTCTATCAAAGGATACTGTTGACCACTTTAGCACACTTATCAAGCCACTAGTTTACCTTTCCATGTTCTATTTCTTCAACAATCCAAGATCATCAGTCACAGATAACTATATTGTTCTACTATGTTTAGTCTATTGTGTCACTGGCATAGCTTATGTGTTGGCAATCTTTTTACAGCCAGGTCCAGCTCAACTGGTGAGCATGTTTAAATCTCGTTCCACTTTAGGTGAATTTGCTATGTCTTACTTCTAGTCACAAGTAATTTATTGCATTATGCAGTGGTCAGCGTTACTTCCAGTAGTTTTGACTCTTGTAGCAACCTATGACAATGAAGATGATAGCAAATATGTGAAATATCTATCAGATTTGTGCTACACCAAGTGGGCTCTTGAAGCATTTGTAATATCAAATGCTAAAAGGTTTGACTTATGATATGTTCGTCACTGCATGTTTATCTAACTCTTGTTTTTATATTTTAAGAAGATTTTCTCCCATGCAGATATGCTGGAGTTTGGTTAATTAGTCGATGTGGTGCACTTTACAATTCTGGCTATGATCTTAAACACTGGTACCAATGTCTAGGTCTTCTCATCGTGATGGGAATAATTAGTCGCATGCTTGCATTTTTCTGCATGATTACCTTCCAAAAGAAATAGTTTCAGCACTCCAAATTCCTCTAGTTTCATTTTGGACGAATTAAAGATGGTATATTTCCACAACTCTGATTGGTGATAACAGCTATGTACAGTAACTCACATTGGTAAGTTTCCTAGAGCTAGTTTGAGACAAGTCTTCTGGCGGTGGATAACATTGCCTTGTACTTGCCTTGCCATTGAGCAAGTTGTGCATAAAGACTAAGCTTCAACAATTTTTAGTTGAACATTATCATTCATGACTCCATTTTGTTAGTGGTGACATTATCAATTAATTTGTATAGTTTTTAACTGTTCTCTCATTGATCTAACCAAGTATCCATGTATAGTTCTAATTTATGATGCCATCCTTTTCATGTCTCATATCCTTTATTTATTTTAAATCTGTAATTCTTTTTTTAATATTCTGTATTCCCAAACTTACCCTAATATATATCTTTTAATAATAACTTAATTATTCAACCTTGGAAATTTTCAATATTTTCATTGACTAATCCAAACAAATTCTCGCTAAGAATGTTTGACCAATAAGAAAGTATACCCCTGTACCTGCATGATTATGAATTAAAATAAAAAAATAAGGGTGAATAATTTCATAAGTCAAACCTTTTAGCATAGATGGGCTGGACCATATCAATTAACTTTAGAAAAAAATGGAATATGATGAGAATGGACTCGTCTCTGATGCTTCATCATTCTGTCTAATCCACTAACATTATGGATAATTCAAAGATGGGCTGGACCAGCCCATGACCAGTCTCTTTTGAAAAAAAAAATATTTTGAATTTAAAATTTAATAATGATATATAAAATATTTTCTTTTGTGATTGTGTTTTATATGATTAAAGCTTTTTTATTTTATTTTATTTTATTTATTTATTTTAAATATATATTTTTTCAAATATAAAATAATAAATTAAAATAATTAAAAATCTTTTTTATTATTTTTTGAGTTACATTTTCTTTTCAATTTCTCTTTTTAAAATTATTTTTACAGTTTTTTTTTTAAAAAAATTTTATATTTTAAAATTAATTTATATATTAAATTTTTATAAATTAAAATAAAAATACGAACACATATTTATGTTTTTTTTGCTAGTTTCTCATAAATTTTATTCATCTTAAAAATATCAAAATATATGTTTGTTATTATATGTAGATTTATTTTTTAAATTAAAAACTAATATTTAAATAAATTGAAATTAAATTATTGATATATTTTATATTTTAAACTAGATTTGCTTATTTAAATTAATATTATAAAAGAATTAATTTTTTAACTGGCTTGTGGGCCCAGTCACTCTCTTCTAGAACAAATCCAGATTTTTAGCCTTTTTGTTGTCTCTGGTTAAAAGGTTCAGAATTACACGTTACGAGTCAAATTACACGTTTAATAATGAATTTCATCGTATTATTTATTGATCATTTGTATTTATATATTAAAACATTTTAAATATGTTATCTAATAATAAATATTCACATATATAAAGTATCATATCATATACATTAAAATGAAACGATTCAATAAACAGCCAACATTTTGAAATTGTATTAAAAAAATTGTATATATATATATAATTAATAAGAATATGAAATTTAATGATTGAAATAATAAAATTTACACCGTATAAAAAGTAACGTATAATTTGATTAAATAATGTATCACAACCTATATTAAACTATAACATCCACCAAATACTTTAATTATAGAATAATATTTTTCAGCATGTGTGTTTTAATAGACAATGAATATACAGACAAAGTTTATGTAATATTTTATAATATTAATTATCTTAATACAATTCATGCTACTTTATATTATAAAATAAACCATTATTATACATTTAATATAATATTACAAATAATATGTTATGTAATTTATAATATTATTTTTTTTAACAAATCAAATGCTGAACATAGAGTACAAGTAGATTACATTATTAATTACTATTAGGTCACGTGGCTTGTGTATGATTATTACAGCGTCTTAACTAAGCTTAGCTTCTTCATAAATTCTTTTTTTAAAGAAAAGTAATTTTGTCTTCATAAAAAAGAGCATTTGTGTCGTACTCATTAAGAATTAACATTAATTTAGTTGGTGCATCAAAATCTGTCTTGAGTTCTCAAAAAACAATGTCAACATACAAACACAGACATTATAAATTATAAAACCTTAAAATAAAAATCTGCATAATTAACCTTGGACACAAATAACATTAGTTGAAGTTTTTTGACAATAATCAAAGGATTCAATATAATTGAAATACAGTAACCTCTTTCTCAATTAGTAACCAAATGATATTATCGTAACAAATTTGAAACCTAACTATACCATAATAAGATAGTTGAGGCCAAGAAGAATATTGGTTCCAGATCTAAGAGGTAATTATGATGGCAGTAGCAGGATGAAAGAAGATAGAGTCATAGCATGGTCCAGTTGGAAGGAGTAAACAGTATATGTGACACCCAAGCATGGGCACCAGACTCATGTGGCAGGATTATTTTTCCCATTCATTCCCCAAAACAGAGGCTATTTTTGTAGCGGTGGATGGGATCAACAATGAGCCATGATAATTTCTGAGTTTTTAATTTGTGTATGAATACGATGCAAACTTCAAACTAGAAAGCCACACCTTTACATCAACCAACCAAACAAATATATGTATTTGTAAAAAACAAAAAGGGGGTAGCTTTACGTAAAGTAATGTAATTAAAAAGGAACTTAGGGTGGAAATGAGCCAATAGCAGAAGGTACTCTAAAAAATTAAACCAGGATTGCAAGCTACGCCAAGAGACCAAACCAAACTTCACCCTCTCTTTTTTTTATTTTTTAGTTTTCTTTTTTGTTCTGTGCATGATGTCCCACTCCCACCAGCATCCACAACCACAACAAAGACGGTTATTATCTCTGTGCCTGAACCAACTTCATGAACACCCTCCTGAAAGCTCCTTCTCATCTTCTCAAACACACTACAAAACCAAAATCCCCTTATGTCTCATTCACCCTCAAACGTCAACTACTCCTCCATCAACCTCCCCACTCTCTTTCTTTGGCCCCAAGATTGTTTCATCATCCCCTCACCAACACTTCTACTTCCATGAACCTCACAGCCCCTCCCTCCGTTGTTGTTTTAATGTCTCTTCCAGGCGTTGGGGTGCCTTCAAGCTTGGTTGCACCTCCATGGACCCTCAAGTAGATTTCTCATCATCACTTCACTCTCCCTCTGAGATTATTGTAAGTCTATTCATTTCATTCGTTAATTATAATAGGAGAGCATCATCGATCATTGTCAGTTTAAAGCATGGTTTTAAATTACAATCCTGATCATAGTTTCGTCATATCATTGATAGTCTGAGAAATTATAGACAGATACGATAGATGAAGTTGCTTTCGTAATCGAGTTGGTCACAATGATCCTCAAAACCTTAATATTGTAGGAGAAATTTGTAATCTCAGAGAGTTGAATAATCTTTGATTTTAACTCTTCTAATATTATTATTATTATTATTATTATTATTATTATTATTATTATTATTATTATTATTATTATTATTAATATCAATACATAGTTGTATTGTAAGAAAATAGTAGTATAGGCATGCGTCACTATACGAGTGTTGTTTTGCTAAATGTAAATTTCATCATCTACTAAATACAAGACAAAGTAATCCAATCAGTACATGCATGGCGTATGTTGAGTGTTTAAGATGAAGACATGTGGTTGGTTGTTTTTATTTGTATCTTCCCTCTCTCTCTACTTGTTTTGGTTGGTGAGTGAAGGGGAACCTTTTTTTTAGTTTTTATTATTACAAGCTTCATTTGTATTCTTTGATACAGAAATCCACTTGTTCGAATTTCAGATAACAAAAATATGTGCACTATTCTAAAACATTTTTCCTGTTTTTGTTCTTTGTTCTGCAGAAGAAAAAGAAAATTACTGGGCGGCAGAAGAGAGAGGAACTTGAAAGAGAGGTATATATGCGCATTCGTACGCACTACAGATTTTAATGGAAAATTAATTACCATGCAGAATGAACGGTATCTTCACACACATACCCACGTAGGATGAGAAGCTAAGCTCTTAAATTTTCTTAATTCTGCATTCTCGTTTCAGTTAGTGATGGATGATTCATTTCATAATATAACTATGTATCTTACATGAATAGTTCAGTTTTTTTTTTTTTTTCTTTCAGGAAAACATTTAAGTATATGTTCTAGTGATTACAATTGCCGCAATAATTTGATCTACCTATAGGGATTAATTAATTTAATAAGTGCCATTTAACGTCACCCTAACCAAAAGTATGAAGTATATTAGATGATGGTAGAGTACGGGTCTCTAAAGTGTTTAGGCACACCCTAAGACGATGGTGTGCAACAGTAATCGATACTTTTAGCAGTCAATCAAAATAGGAGTGAAAAGTGTCACTCTCCTTTTGAAAAAGCTACCGCTGGGTTCATCATTATGTCAAAGTATAGCAATACTTCGTACAAACTTTGGAACTATAGGTTTACTATTTATGCCAATGGAGAGTACGAGCAGTGAATGAGAACCATACCCTCAAAGCCACACCCTTAAAGGGGAAAATTTGTACACATTCGTGTTATGGTTTAGATGTTCAACCGATTAAGTGTATATATTTAATGGGGATATTCTTTTCACGGATACATGTGACATTTCCACTTGGTATGAAAATTACATGATTTTTTATTATGTAATAAACAGGTTTCTATGCTTCAAAGCTTGTTGGACCAAGAAGAAAAGTTCCATGAGATTTTGGAGATGCTGCATAATAGACCGAACGGGTCAGCTATATCAATTCCCAATTTTCTTCCACCCAAGGTAATATGATCCTCACCTCAATCACAATTCTTTATTTCGCTATTGTTTTTTCCATGATATATTGGTAGAACCTCTTTATCAAAATTTCAGTTTAGTAAGTCACATGGGCTTGTGAGTGCTTTGGAAGCATCGCACTTGGGATATGGGCTTAATATAGAGAGCAAGTTACTCCATTGTGATGTATGGAGGAGGAGGACACTAAATTAGCTACTTCAAAATTGGAAAAAAAAAAAAAACTTATTTTCCTTATCAAGTAGGTCTATAGAAAATTGAAAAAAAAAAAGTATTTCATAATTGTTTTCTGTTTTGCTTTATTCATCACCTCGGTTTAGCAATTAAATCTAGAAGTTATAAACATAAAATATATGGAATATGCATGGAGGTAGAGATACTATAGAATAGTTTAATTGGAATGTTTTAAGGTGAAAGTAGACTTACAAATTTGACACAAAGATGCTTGGATAAACTTGGTAACATTAATTATGCAATTTGTGCAGATGAGAGAACTCTTAGGAGAGCTGGTCATGGTAGAGAGTGAAATAGCACGACTTGAAAGCCAAATAAGCCAACTCCAAGCTGGTTTGAAACATGAACAAGAAGTGACCAAGGAATCAAAGTCTAAAACGTGGAATCAAGGGAATTTGAGTAATTCTAACAACCACTTATCAACTTCTCCGATTCCAAATCCTAGTCCTATTCGCAGAAGTGTTCAAGAAAGGATGGCATTTGAGACCAAGGCGTTGCATTTCATAAGCAAAGCTATCAAGGGTGATTACAATCTCAATGAATTCAGTCTTCATGACAAAACAGGTTTTCTAAAAACTTCTGTGGAACAGAAAGAAAATAAGTTCCAAGAAGATGTGAAACATCAAGAAAGAATTCCAAGGAAAAATGGGATAGTAAAGCCCCCCTCACCTATGCGTGACCCACGTCATCCATCACCCAAGGTATGCATATGCATGCCCATTTTCCCATTCTTGTACGTAGCTTTATTTTCCTTCATTAAAATATGTTTTGGTCATATGTGATTACATTACAGTGTGAAAAAAAATATTATATAGTTTAGAATCATTACATTTTCATAACTCTAATTAATTTTTTACGTGACATCTATATCCTGTGCGAAGATTAAACAACACTATAGATGGTTGGCTGCTTGAATCAGTAGACATCATTGTACTCATATATCATTACTTTATGAACTATAAAGCAGTATCAAAGTTTGAAAAGAATCAGTATATAGCTTGACATAGATATTGCTGTCAACAGTGTGAATTTGCTAATTTGCAATTACTTTACTACTTTCAGCTGCGGGAACGCAATCCAGAGATGTACTTGGATCTCCCAACTAGATCACTATTGGATCCACTTCTGTCAGAGGAGACTGATCTGAAGTGGCAACCCAACAAGCTCTCTGAGAGCATCATGAAGTGTTTGAATTTCATTTATGTAAGACTGCTCAGAACATCAAGAGCAATGGAATTGGAGAAATCAGGGCCCATTTCAAGGTCTGTGCACTCTTCTTTAAGCTCAAGAAGCTTCAGGGTGGATACTGGGTCAACCCCAAAACCAAGCCTCTTGTTGCAAAAGGAATCTAGGCAGCAAGACCCTTATGGTATCTTTAACACAGAAGACTCCGTTCCAAGGGACATTGGTCCTTACAAGAACCTGGTTATATTCACTTCCAGCTCTATGGATCCCAAGTTTATCTCAAGTCCGTCGTCTATACCATTACTGAGGAAGTTAAGGTATGGCATGGATGATATGTACACCTATGAGAAGAATCTAAATGTTGAAAACTTTGTAACTTCTACTTGACAATTAAGTGGTATATAAAATTCAAAGTAACGGTTAGTTTCTTGCGATCTACAGGATCTTGATGAGCAATCTTGAAACAGTTGACTTGAAAAGCCTTACAAACCAACAGAAATTAGCATTCTGGATCAACGTATACAATGCTTGTATCATGCATGTATAGTTGACATTTCCTTTTTTCCTTCTTAAATTTCTATATATACTATCTTTATAGTGATATCAGATTACGTGTTGTTTAGGAATTTGATTCTTAGTCAATCTGATGAATTAGAATTATAAGACATGGATCAGGACTATGATTAATGTATTGTCTTGTTTCAGGGATTTATCCAATATGGAGTGCCATCCACCCCAGAAAAACTACTTGCATTGATGAACAAGGTACATGACAAATCGCGATATAGATGTTACTTATCCTGTTTCTGGCCCATTGGATTCTACCCTGGTTTCTTGACAGGTGCTATAATTAAGAGGAGATAAAATGTTTCAAAAAATTTTAATTTTTTCAATTTAAATCAGAAGATAACTGACTACCAAGACAATTTGTTTTTGTTTTTGACTTCGTTTTGATAAGCTTATATAATCCTTACAAAAATGTTATTAAAGAAACATTTTCTTGATGTTGATGAATTCACTTATGTGCAGGCAACCCTGAATGTAGGAGGCAACATAATAAATGCTCAAGCAATAGAGCATTTCATACTGAGGAAACGAGATATTTCTAATATGAAAGAGGTAAACAGCAAAAAATTATCAGCTCCTTCATTCTTGTTCTTTTAAATACAGAAACAAATAAAGCTTTAATTTTGTTACAACTGATATATCCCTAAAACAATGTATACGTATGGTGGTTTAGGTTCAGCTAAAGGGTGAGTGGGAAGAGAAAGAATCGGTTGTTCGTGAACTTTATGGACTTGAGTTTGTTGATCCTAATGTCACATTTGCTCTGTGTTGTGGAACTCGTTCTTCTCCTGCTGTAAGTTCTTCTGCTAAATAACATATCTATGTATTGGTTTTAGCTGAAGAATGCTACCGACACATGCTTATTGTTGGTTGATGTGAACTTGATGCAGGCGAGGATATACACAGGAGATGGAGTAACAAGTGAATTGGAGAAGTCAAAACTGGACTATCTCCAGGCTTCAATTGTGGCTAGTAGCAGCAAAAGAATAGGATTCCCAGAGCTTCTTCTCATAAACATGCTTGATTTTGCGGCGGATGCAGAGTCATTGGTGGAGTGGGTATGTAGCCAGTTACCTACATCAGGCACTCTAAGGAAATCAATGGTGGATTGCTTCAGAGGCCACAATAATAGTGTCAAGCTTTCTACCATTGTTGAAAAGATACCCTATGACTATGAATTCCAGTATTTGTTGACAATATAAATGTACATTGTAACATTTTTTCTCCCTTTTTTTTTTCTTCCCCTATAAAACTTAGTATACAGAATATAAAAAGTGTAGTTTTTTTGTATGCAATAAGCATAAAACCTAAGACCTCATGTTTATTACTCAAACCTCTCATCAATTGGACAATCTTAATGAGTTTTAATTATTCTGGTCAATTTTTTATGTTAGTAAAAAATAAATTTTATTACTTAATTAATTAAATATACTATTTTCTATCTTATAAGCACGTAAGAAGATGGCTACCACAAATGAATTAGTTGTTATTTAAAAAAATAAAATGATGAAAATTTTTAAAAATAAATTCAAAAGTAATATAAATTGTTACCAGATTTAATTCTACTAATTGAATTAACTAAATCTCTCTTAATTAAGAAAGAAATATAGTGTCTGTTTGCTGAACAAGATTGCAAACATTGACTTATATTTTCTCCTATGATGGATAATTTGGAAGTAATCCTTATTTTTAATTAAATATTTTATATAATCTCCTTCGTATGTCAATTTTTTTTTTTTAATTTGAAGAATCAAACATGTAGTAAATTAATAAGGTTTTTTCTTCATGTACCTTCACTTTTCTTTTCTGCACCTATATTTATCTTCTTTCTACACCTATATTTATTTCAAAAGATAATAATATTTCAATTAGTTTTATGAAACTAATAATCTAGAAACATATTTTCAATTGTTCCAGATTAATAAATTCAACCAAATTTTGGAAGAATAGATTTATGTTAAGTGGTAAAAAGTTGATATAATTATGTCTTGAATGGTTATGAAACCATTTAACTTATGTTAATTCTAATATATTTTTATCCCTATATAGGATGAATTCGAGAATACCTTGATACAAGAGTAAGGAACATAATTGGAGTAAAATTGAAAGAAAGAAGAGCGCTTAAGCGAATGAATGATGCAAGACCCTGCCCAAATTCTCTTATAAAAAGATAAGTTGTGTTTTGAGCAAAGCAAACAGTCTTGGAGGAGAGGAGGCACAACTAATGTTAGGGTTTTGTCTAATCTTCATCAATTGGAGCATTGTAATTGCCAACATAAGTGGCTAACTTCATTCTCTTATGATTCGGTGCACTTCCTTTGAACTCTTTTGTATCATGGTGATATTTTGAGATATTAATCTATGTTTTTATGTTGTTATTCTTATCATTTATGTTTTGAAATGATTTATTCTTGATTGTTTGAGGTATGATTGGAAAATATATCTTGAACCCTAGATCACGGTAAGAATATTTGTTACGTTAATTGCCAAGAATGGAATGAATGTATCAATTGCTTAATACCCTAACCCTAATGCTGGAAAATCTGTTAATTGTGTGAGGAATCAACATTTATTAGGTTTTCTTATGAATTTCATGTGTGAGGAATCAACATGGATGATTTGAGGAGGTGACATCAACATTGTTAGGTTAATTGACGTTCTTAATTGACATAGCCATTACAAAAGAGGGATAAGGAAGAAAGTCAATCCTAAGTACCTTTAATTGATATTTTCTCAACAATTTACATTTCTTTGTCATTTAATTTCAATTCAACTCTTAATTGCAAAACTCAATCTATTTTAATCTACTTAGTAAGCATAATTGAGAATTTCCATTGAAACCGTTCCTCGTGGGATCGACTTTTATTTAATCGAAATACTATAATCGCAATTGATAATTTTGGTACGTTTGCTAATAATTCAACAATTTAAAAATATATAATTTTTAAAAAAATGTTATAATACAAAATACAAAACGTAATTTTATGGTTCGAAAAAGATAAATTAAAAAAACTAAATCTAAAAATAATTTTTCTACGATTTAAATTCAAACTGGATCAACAACAACCAACAAATATTTGATGTCATCCTTGGGCCTGGAGACGTAAAAACTGAATGTAGTTGTTAAACATACCCCCCCTTGTTACAAAACATACCTCCTTTATCTCTATTTTCTTTTTATTGTTTTTCATCCCACCTCTTTCTCACTCACTCATGAATTGCTTATACAATTTCAAAAAACATTCAACATTTTCTCGAATCATTACCACTCTATGCTCCACCATTTATATTTCTTTTAAAAAAAATGTCACTTCATAGGATTTTTTTAAGATTTAAACATACCGCTTATTTTTTTAAATGAGAGTAATTATTTAGAAAATTTTAAGTATAACGCATCTATTGAAAAAGAGAAAATTATTTAAAAATATATAGGATGGTTAAATATGATTTATTAAAATTTAAGAATAACTATTTTAAAATTTTAGTTTATACTTTATAAATTTTTAATAAGAGAGAAAGATAGAAAGATGATGATAAAATTTTGTATGTTATATATCTTATTGTCTTTAAATTTTATAATCTTCCATAAAAAAAACACAGATAAAATTGAGAAATAATTATTTCTAGAGACTAAATTATAATAAAAATTCAAAAAAAAATAAAAATAAAGCTTTGATAGTTAAGTTTAAAAAGTGTAATTCAAAACCTATTTAATAACAGTAAAGTATAATTTGAATACTAATAACTATTGTTTTTCCTAAACCAGATTCTATTTTATGATTTTTCTCTTAGTAAATATTAGTCTAGATTGCACTTGATGAGATGAGAGGTGTATAAAAAAAAAAAACACTTACACATGGTTCTATTTTTTTTTTGGACCAAATTAAGTGTCGTGTTAATGTAAACCTAATGAGAGCAAGGTGTGACAAGGAACACACGTTTGTCTTCATATGTGATGACCATTTTTAGTGAAAGATGAGTGCCACCAATTACGTCATTGCTAACTAACAATTACGTGTTAATTAATGTTGTGCCAACTTCATTGGTTAAAAAAGCATTAGGGATCTTAATAACTTTGGTGCTAAATATGTATAGTGGAATTATATGATAGACAGGACATATACGTAGAATATTTGTCACTTCAATGCATGTATTCAACCCTTTAAGGTCATATAAAAGAATAGTATCATCCTACATAATATAATGTTACAAAGAAGAAGAAGAAAACTTAGATAGTTATTCGTCATATTTAACATTTACTTTTTATCACGATCAAAATTGAATACATATAAATAAATTGTTAAAATTTTATTTTATCCAATTTAATAAATTGAAATATGACCATTTTGATATGTTTAAAATTGAAATAAAAAAAATTAAAGGACTATTTTAAGTTATATTAATAAAATTAATATTATTTTTATTTGTTAAAAATATAATTATTATTTTGTGAAAAAAATGTTTATATATTGATCTTGTCTAAACCTATTTAAAGACTAGATTAAATTTTAACTTGACAATTTTTTAGTTTTATTTTTTACATTCTAAAACCCTAATCCAAAGGATATTTTTATCCTTTTTTAAAAATCCCAATCCAAATTCTCTTTTAATTGAATTTTAATAGACCTTTTTCTGTGCTTGAATGAAATTGTCAATGAAAGATATATGGTTAAAATTACAGGTTAATTTAAAAAAAAAAAAAAATTGTGCGAATAGAACATATATAAAAAAACTCAGTACTCGTAATAGGTAGTATAACAAGTTACTAATGAAACTTATGAGAGAACATGGTGATACACAGATAAGGGGAATTTAAGAGAGAGAGAGTAGTAAAAGGGGGTAATTTTGGTTGTTGATGATGGAAAGATGAAAAAGCAGGGAGTAAGAAAGTGTAAACAAGGAAAAAGTGTGGATGCATGGATGGATATGATTTGTGAAGGGATGCAGAATAAAGTAAAGCAATTAAGCACCAAGAGGAAGAAGAGGGGCCAAAGCAAACACAACACAATACACAACGCATGCTATGATGCTGGCGTTTGAAGAACATGGCTACATTACACAAAATTCTCTTTGGTTATTAGCTTCATCATCATTGTGATTCGCAACCCCTTTCACTTGATTGATTGCTTCCTCATCTTAATTATGTGAATTGAAGTGTGACTGTACCTTACAACTTGAACATGTTCCGTCCACCACAGACCCCACTTCTTTATATGCTTTCATGTCATTAAGCAAATGAATGGTCAATGTGACTGATAAATCATCCATTGTACCTCTTTGTGAAAGAATTTTTTTTTCTTCTCTATATTCTCACATCAAACCTCTCAGTGCATGCATCTAGTACACCGTATTCTCTACCTAGCTGTTCATCAGAATCTCATCCCTCTCCATCCCCTTTTCTTCCTTTCTTGTTGACTACACATGTGCTTGAATATACCTCACTCTCTCACTTTTTCTCTTCAAAACTCATCTCTTCCAATTAGTATAAGCACGGTTAACCACTAATGTACAATTATACGTATTTTGTTTCACATGTTTTATTTCATAATAGATTCATAAACAAATCTCTAATTTTATATAATACAATTTAGAGTTTTTAATAAAGATGGATATAGAGTTTTTAATAGTGAAAAAAATTGAAACAACCTGTTATTGTACGCAGAATCAATTATGTTTGACTCCAATGATGAAGAAATGGGAAAATCCGAGAGCAATAACATTATATGATGACGATCTAGAATGAGATCTAGACATTATTTAAGGAAAGTGATCCATGTGTTCCAATTCTTACATATCTCCACTCCTATAAAGAAGTTTGTTTTTTTCAAGAGAAAATCGTAACATTTTAACTTTTTTTCTTCTCTATTTACTTCCAACAATAACTTTATTTTTTATTGTTATTTTTATACCGTTGTCTCTACTCAAAGTTATAACTACTTCTTTGCTATCAATAGGAAAAGCATTAGATATTTCTCCTTCCATGAATCATGAAGATTGTGATATTTCTCGGTATCTCAAAGAAATCATGTGATTTTCCTCAAATGTTAAGTTACTAAAATAGGAAAATGTATTAAAATAATAATAGTAATAATAAAGTAAATGATTTGATAACAAAATAAAACGAAAATGTAGATTAGTCAAATAAAAAAAACCAGAAAGATTGCGTTAAACACTGAAAGTGTAAGAAAGAGAAATTATATAT